TGACCATGATAACATTCTTTGAATTGTACCAAATCATGCTCATCCTTCTTTTCCGAGTGTTCCTCCCCCATTCACGTAATTTCACTGCCCCCTAAATTTCCTATTTAATCATTTGTATATTATATGAGGGGCTTCAAAAAGTTCATGGACAAATTCCATGATCTTTTAATTCCATTTTCCCACAAACTTCCTGGAGCCTCCTTGTGTATATTTTCACAACACCACCAACAACCACAATAATAATAAAAAGGATGGTTAAAAAGAGAGAAAGGATAGGACAAGCAGGGCCACAACTCCCTAGGGGAAGGGACACTTTGTGAGCACCTGCTGTATCGGAATGTGTGAGCACTTGAACCGTATGATCTCATCATACCTTTAAGGCTAGGTCACACGATCACTTGCTATGCCAACAGGGAAGGAGCTCTGGTGGCATGGTGGTTAAGCACTTGGCTGCTATATGAGAGGTCAGTGGTTCAAACTTAACCATTGGTTCCAAGGGAGAACAATTTGACCATCTGCTCCTGTAAACCTATAAAGATGGCAACCTAGAACCCCATGGGGCTGTTCTACTAGAACCTGATGATGCCGTTCTTCTAGAACCCCATGGAGCTGTTTTTCTAGAGCCTGATGGGGCCACTCTACTCTGCCACTTATTGTCACTGTGAGTCAGAATCTACTTGATGGCACCCAATAACAATAACAAAAGAACATGTATATGAAGACACTTAAGCCCAGAGAGGTTAAATCATTTCCCTTAGATCTTACATCTGCTAAGTGATCCACCAGCCACTCTGAGGGAGAACAAGCAGGCTGTCTGCTCCCATCAAGATTTAGAGTCTTAGAAACCCTATATAGGGTCACTATGAGTCGGAATCAACTTGATGGCTGTGGGTTGGGTTTGGTATTAGGCACCATGCTCTGAGCAAAGCCCACACTTCTCTCAGTTCAGGAAGGGTATTAAAGTTCTGATTCCTGTCTCCTCGCCAATGCCTGGCTCTAGAATCCTGACACCATTCCATAGCCCCCGCCCTCTTCAAACACAGAAAACCCAGAGCTGGCTCAGAATGGAATTTCGTTCGCCAAAGAGTAGTGAGAAAAGCTCATTTTCTCACTGAAAGCAGTGAGAGCCTGCTAGGAATTTCAAACTCTTTGAAGTTAAATTGTCAGAAGACTGCCCATCTAACTGTAACTGTGTTCTGACACACTCTAAGTTTTCTCCATTAAATAGGAGTTCCTTGTCCCACAACACGGATGAACTATAAAGATGGAATGTTGAATGAAATAAACTAGGCACAAAAGGCCATATATTGTATAACTACATTTTTATAGAATATCAAGAACAGGCAAATAAATAGAGATAAAAGTTATGGTTTACTTTAAAAACTAGTGATTCAAACTTAGTTAGGACACTCTTCAAGCCTTGTGGCTTAACTTTGAGCCAAATAATAAGCAAATCTGTAACACCAAGCAGGTATGCACTCTTTAGAGCAAACAATATGAGATCAAAAGGGAGCAAGCTCAGATGGTAGTAAGGGTTAGAAAAAAGGAGGAATGGAAACAGGAAACACAGGGAGGAATTGGGATGAGTGATGTTATATTGTGGACATTGCAGTCAGTGACATGAAACAAAATGCGTATGAATTGTTGAATGGAAAACTGATTTGCTCTGTAAACCTTCACCCGATTTACGTTAAAAACTTAAAACAAAACAAAAAAACATTTGCTGTTTTGCTTATCTTTACATGTGCGATTTGGTGACAGCTGGTCCGTGAAGATTTAAGCTACAGAAACATGAGACTTTCTGCTCCCATGAAGATTCAAAGCCTCGGAAACCTTATACAGGGTCACTGTGAGTTGCAACTGACTCCACGGCACTTAACAACAATTATGTTTATTCCACTGTTCAACCATCACAGATTTTTCCATCACTCTTGACAGAAACTCGGTGTCTCCCAAGTGACAGGCTGCTACTGTCTGCAGATTTAAAAAGGCAATTTAGAACAAAAATGAATTCCTCTAAAAATGCCTGACTCAGAGTCTAGGCCTCAAAGGGTTACAGGGAAAGTTCTCGGTTCTTTGGAGTTGTGGGAATTCTGTTTCTTGGGCTGGTGGCCCTTGGCTCCCAGCCTTTCTTTTTCTCTTGCATGTTCAATAGCTGTAGCGCTGGTGAGAGACAAGAAAAGTTTTGTAGTGCATAGAAAGACATCACTGCTGGTCTGGGGTCACTATGACAACCACAGCCAATACATAGAAAGAGGGATCTCCATGTTTGTTAAAAGGGCAGAAGACAAGGTGTCCAGAGTCACCTGGACACTGGTGGAGGCCAGTACCTCCCTTGGTGGGTGATTTCATTCCGCAACCTGGGAGAAAGGTGTTAGCTGAGTTCTCACTGGTAGCCTTGTTGATGGGAGTATGAATTGTCACAACCACCTGAGAGGGTTGTTGTTGTTATGTTCCGTGGAGTTAGTTCCGACTCATAGCTACCCTGTACAGGGTTCCCGAGGCTGTAAATCTTTACAGGAGCAGAAAGCCTCATCTTTCTCCTGTGGAATAGCTGGTAGTTTTGAACTGCTGACCTTGCGGTTCACAGCCTGATTCATAACCACTACGCTACCAGAGCTCCTTGGGAGGGTTGTTAGGCAGCATTAATGCTGTTTGTACTTTTGGGGCTAGAAGTTGAGCTTTTAGGAATTTATTATTATCATTAATGTGGGCTTTAATGGAAGGAATACAAAGAGATGGGCGTGCACCCATATTTGTTGTGGCCCCATTCACCACCACCAAGATGTGGAAGCAGTCCACTCCTCCATCAGCAGATAATGGATAAACACAATGTCTTCCATCCACACTGTGTTGCATAGTCGGCAGTTAGAGTCCTCCCAGATGGGCTTCAGAAAAAAGGCCTGGTTATCTACTTGTGCAAAATCAGCCATTGAAAACTCCAGGGAGCACAGTTCTACTCTGGCACATGTGGGGTCGCTGTGAGTTGGAACTGACTCTGTGGCAAGTTGTTGTTGTTAAGTGCCGTTGAGTTGGTTCCAACCCATAGTGACCCTGAATAAGGTTTCTGAGGCTGTAAATCCTAACAGGAGCAGAAAGCCTCATCTTTCTCCAGCAGAGCAGTTGGTAGTTTCAAACTGCTGACCATGCGGTTCACAGCCCGATTCGTAACCACTATGTCACCAGAGCTCCTTCTGTGGCAAGTAGTGAGGGTAAAATAAGGAGAACTTAAGGTTTGCGGTTTTCCCCACATCCCACGTGTTAATCACACTCACAGTGTTGTGATGCTACCATCGCTATTTGATTCCAAACCTTGTCATCCCCTAAACCCAGTAAGCACTAACTCTCTCTTCCACCCACCCCTTGCCCACGGTAACCACGAGTCGACTTTCTGTCTTGATGCCTCTTCGTGTTTGTAGAGATTGCATACAAATGAGGTCACTACAACATTCGCCCTTTTGTGCCTGACTGATTTTGCTCAGCATCATGCTTTCAAGGTCTAGCCACATCTTGGCATGTGTCAGAATGTCCCCTCTCTCTCTGGTGGCATCAGATTCCATTGTGTGGATGGACCATCTTGTGTTTTGCCATCATCTGCTGATGGACACGTAGGTCATTTCCACCTCCTGGCGATTTCTAGTAGTGCTGCAGTGAACATGGGTTCACGGGTATCTGTTGGCGCTCCTCCTTATATAGGATTTTTCATTCTTAAAAAAGAAGGCCACTCATTCCTTTCTCTGAATCTGTGCCCAGAGGAAATGAGTATATGAGGGGCTTCCAAAATGTTTGTGGAAAAATGCAATTGTAAGAGAATGGAAGTTTTACACAAACCTCCTGAAGTCTTCTCATCTGTGTCCACTGAAAGAGCTACACATGAATGCACAGTTCTTCCTCCACAAGAGTACCCAAACTTGAAACAGCCCAAATGCCACCTACAATAGTCGGATAAATCAGTTGTGGTACAGGCATACCCATTGTCCAATCGATTTGGATTCATGACCCTGTAGGACAGAGTAGAACTGA